TCAACCCCACTTAGTAGGGTTTCTTGTATTCCCTGGTTGATGCCCATGCCTGAGTTTACATATGCACTCAACCCCCTTTACTGGAGATATCTTGTGCACACTGCTTCATCCATCTCTGGCATTTCCCTTGTGGGAGGACAGAACCGTGGATTGGGACTTGCTTCCTATCTGTGATATGTCTCAGCCACACACACACTCAACCTCTGAGAATGACCCAACCAACAAGGCAGTACTTATAGTCCAATTTTTCCTACCTTGGCTCATGCACAAGGTAGCCTAGTTGCTGCGGTACCTGCTTTTTTTTTTTCCTGCCTCCAGAACAATAGTCTTGGGCTTATCTGCAGTCCTGTGAGAAGCCGAGATGCCCAGAGTAGACCACCCGAAATTGGGTGGGATGTGTCTCTCCCTCTGCTGGGGTCCCCCTTCCGCAGATGCAGAGTATCCTGGAGAGCCCCCAAATTGTGAGAAATGAACTCACCTGTCCAAAATCAAAGGCTGGACACAGAGACATGGAGTACAGCAGAAGCAAGACTTTAATGACAGTCTTGCAAGATTGGGTGCAAGCATACCGAAGCAGGGAGAATCAGCACTTTTATGCACGTCCCTCTCCTGGTTCCTCATTGGAGGAATACTTGCAGGAGTTACACACTTTGCCATAGAATGCCTACATGTTACATGTTGATTGGTTTTACAGAATTATTTCATTTATGTGTCCTATTTGCTGAATGGCTTACAGGATCACTATTCTGATTAGATTCTGCCAAAAGTTTAAACATGTAGCCCACCAAGGTAAAAAGCCTGCAAAAAGGAACCACAAAGAAGCAGGAAGTGAATCAACAAAAGAGAAGCACAAAGCAATTAGACATCATCTTGAGAACCCAAGATAAGCTAGGCTCCAATTTGAAAATAAATCACCATTCTTATTTTTCACACTTACTATGAATGCACCTAAAATGAATAAACACACATAAGGAAAAGTTATAAAAACTGAGCAGAAAAATAGAGAAATCCACAATTATAATGGGAGACACTAACATACTTCTATCAGCAAATGTCAGATCAAGTGGACAGAAAATCAGTAATGTTATAATTTAGCACAAAGCACATAATCAACTAGATTTAATTGACATTTATAGACTACATCAACCAACAACAGCACAGTACACATTCTCAAGATCATACAGAACATTCACTGTGGTAGGCTACATTCTGGGCCATAAAACACACCTTAACATATGTTAAAAAAACAAAAACTAGGAGACTTACAAAGTATGCTCTAAGAACATATTGGAATGAAATTAAAAGTCATCAGAAAAATAGAAAAGCTCCAAATAGTTGATGGCTAAACCACAAAGTTTTAAATAGCACAAGGGTCAAAGCAAACCTCAAGAGAAATTTACGTATTTCAAAGGAAACTAAATAAAACCACACCTTATGAAAATTTGTAGAAGCTGGGCTTGGTGACTCAGCCTGTAATCCCAGTGCTTTGGGAGGCTGAGGTGAGAGGATTGCCTGAGTCTGTGGGTTCAAGACCCGCCCGGGCAACTTGGCGAGACCTCATCTCTACAATAAGTCAAAAATTAGCCAGGCGTGGTAGCGCACACCTGTAGTTCCAGCTACTTGGAAGGCTGAGGTGGAAGGACCACTGGAGACCAGCAGGTCGAGGCTGCAGTGGCCAGGAGCGTGCCACTGCAATCCAGTCTGGGTGACAGAGTGAGACTCCAACTCAAAAAAAAAAGAAAATTTGTAGAATGCAACACAAGCAATACTTAGGGAAAATTTAAAGCATTGAATAAACACACTAGAAAAGAAAGAGCTAAAATAAATAACCTTTCACTTTAGGAATCAACAGAAAAAAGAGCAAGGTGAGCATAAATCAAGCACAGAAAAATAATTTTAAAAAGGCATCCAGCCATTGCTTTAAGTTCTAGCCAGGCCATGTTTTCCCCAACTTTGTCCCCCTCCCCTATCTTGGGAAGGTGAATCGTTTCTCTTCCTCTCTCTTATTTACTTTCTAAATAAACTGTATGTTCCAATCTGAAAAAAAAAAAAAAGACAATAAAACTGCAAGCAAAAAAACCAATAGAGAAAAAGCTGGTTCTTCATAAACATCAATAAAATTAATATATCTATATTCAGGTTAAGAAAGAAGACACAAAAATAACCAATCAAAAAGTGAAAAAGAAGTAATCAATACCAATACCACAAACATTAAAATGACTGTAAAGATATATTATATACAATTTCATGATCACAAATTTGGTAACTTAGAAGAAATGGATCAATTTCTGAAAGAAACAATCTTCTAATATCATGCAGAAGAGATTAAAAAACATGGATGGGCTATGCTAAAGAAATCAATCAATAACTAATAACTGTCCAAAAAGTAAAGACAAAACCTCACTGAATACATTAGTAACTTCTGTCAAACATTTAAGAAAGAAATGACACCATTTTTAAAAATGTCTTCCAGAAAATAGCAGAGTAAACACTTTTTAATTTATGATATGAAGCCAACATACAACATACCCTACTACTAAATCTATAGGACATTATAAAAGAAGAAAGCTAATGATCAAGAACTCTCATGATCATAAATACAAAAATCCTCAATCTAAGAATGCATAAAAAAATTATATACCACAATCAAGTTGAAATTATTACAGGTAGGCAAGGCTGATTCAAAATTCAAAAATCAAATAATGTACTTCATCACACCAATAAGCTAAATAACAATAATCACATAACTATGTTAATAGTGGCAGAAAACCATAAGGCAAGAAAAGGAAGGGGGAAGAAGAATTAAGACTGAGAAGAAAATAAAACTGTCTTTGTTCAAAGATGAAATAATTGTCCATGTAGAAAATGCAAAGGAGCCAATAAAAATCTCCTAAAACCAATAAGAAATTATAGCAAAATTGCAGAATACAAGATTAATATACCAAAATCAACTGTTTTCCTGTATTGGTATGAATGGTTGGATTTAAAATTACAGACAAAAAAACCACTTACATAGTATCAAGAAAAAAAAGGAGAGAGAGATATATATATAAGATCTAAATAAATGGAAAGATATTCCATGGCCATAAATAAAGTAAGAAGCCTCTCAGTATTATTTCTTAGATGCCAGTTCTCCCCGTGTTGAATTACAGATTAAACACAAGCCAATAAAAATCCCAATAAGTTGTGGTGTCAATACAGAAAACTGAGTCTTATATATGAAAAGGAAAAACACATAGAATAGTCAACACAATAAAGAACTCTCTCGTAAGACTGACTCTACCTGATGGTAAGACTTACTATAAAGCTACAGTAATCAAGAACATGTAATTATGTAATATTTGGAAAAGAATAGACAAATATGTCATCTTAAGAGAACAGAAACCCAGAAATACACCCACACAAATACAGTCAACAGATCTCTGACTACAAAGGAGGAGCAAAGGAAATTCAATAAAGAATGGTCTTTTGAACAAATGTTGCAGAAACACCTGGACATCCGTATGCAAATAAATGAATTGACAAATAAACCTTGCAACTTTTACAAAATTAACTCAAAATGGATCATAAACCTAAATGTAAAATGCAAAATTTAGAACATCTGGAAGATAATATAGGAGAAACTCTAGACATCCTTGATTGTAGCAATGATATTTCAGATGCAACACCAAAAGCATGATCTGTGAATAACAAAATTGATAAATTGAGGTGTTTTTTTTTTTTTTACATTGGAAAATATAGTTTATTTAGAAAGTAAATTAGAGCGAGAGAGAGGAGATGCACCTTCCCAAGGTAGGGGAGGGGGCCAAAGTTTAAGCAAGGCAATAGCCGTGAGTTTTATTACTTTTATGTTGTGATACTGTTAAGAAAATGAAGACAAAGCACAGACTGAGTCAAAATATTTATAAAACACATGTCTGATTTTTAAAAAACAGGTATTCAAAATATACAAAGAAGTCGTAAAACTCAATAAGAAAACAATCAATTAAATAAATGAACAAAAGATAAGGAAAGACATTTCACTCAAGATACTAAACAAATGAGCATATCACAAGTTGCTCAACACCATATATATGTCTTTAGGGAATTGCAAATTAAAACAGCAATGAGGTACTACCATATATCTAGTAGAGTTGCTAAAATATAAAACCCCTACCAGTTTACCATATTGGTAAACTGTGAAGCAAGAGGAACTCTAATTTACTGTTGGTGTGAATAGAAAATAGTTTAGCCACTTTGGAAGACAGACTGGCAGGCTCTTACAAAGAGAAATAAGGTCTTACAATAGGATTCAGCAATTGTATTCCTGGGTATTTACCTAAATGAGTTAAAAACTGAGGTCTGCACAAAAGTCTTTAAAGGAACATTTATAGCAGCCTTATTCATAAACGCCAAAAACTAGAAACAACCAAGATGCATCTTTCAATAGGTGAATGGATAAACTGTGTTATATTCATACAATGGAATATTATTCAGAAAATGAGTTATCCAGACGCAAAAAGGCATGGAGGGACCATAAATGCAGACTACCAAGGGAAACAAGCCAGTCTGAAATGGCTACATATAATTCAAAAGAAAAAAAAAATTCTGGAAAAGGTAAAACTATAGAGACAGTAAAAAGATCAATGGGTGCCAAGGATTCAGGAGTGATTAGGCTGGAGGGTGGTGGATTTGGGACCCTCAGGATATAACGACTGATCCGAGGAGAAAACGGGTACCCCAGGGACCACAGCTCCCCACACGCACAAACCAAACACTAGGGCGGGACTCTCCCCAGTAAAACTCCCGTCGTCCCAGCACAATCTGAGCTGGGGCGCCGCTGCAGTCCCAGTCCTACTCTGCGACTATAAAGGACTGAGGGCCGATCTGCGCCAGGGGGGACTCGGGTCACAGGCTCCGAAGCTGACAGCTGGGAGGCCTGCGTCCCGCCACAGCCGGTTCCTGGTAGGTTCCAACCAGCCTCCTCCCCCATCTCTGGACGCCAGGCCCCGCGCACTCACCATTCCCGGCTTCCGGGGTGTTCTGGCGTCCTTCCTACGGATCTCACAGTACCTGCAGGTCGCAGGGTGACAGAGACTGCAGCAGAGCCACCTGGGCCTCCCGGAGAACAGGAGATGAAGGAGAGAAGAGACTCCAATTCCTTGCGCGGGCACAAGAAACAAAGCCCCAGCCGGAGCCCGGAAGCCGCCTTCTCCTCTCCGGCTGCGTGTCTGATTGGACAGTTTCCACCCCAGCGCCGCTGATTGGATAGCGCTTCAGGCCCCGCCCCAAAGCCCTGAATGACAGTGGATGCTATCCTATACTGGCTGAATGAGGCCAGAACAACAGACTTTTGGCTGCAGCTCGGAACTGGCCGGGTTTGCAGGACGTACGAGGAGGGACCAAAAAACTCAGAATTATCTTTTGGAGGGCAGCTCCTTGTACAGGCTTCCTCCGCTAGGTAAGTGTTCTAGGAATATTTTGGCATCGGTGTACCAGCTAGCATTGTTGTGACAGGCTGCATTAGGCTTCAGTGAATTTGTGGAGATTCTTTGAACGCGTTTGCCCATTTCATGATGGATGATTTTCACGAACAACCTGCCCCCACTGCGCTGCGTGTTCAGCAGTTTTTGACCAAAAACACCGGGACTCCTGTGCCCCACCCTCCCTAGTTACCGAATCTCGCCCCAAGCGACTTTTTTGTGTTTCCCAGATGAAAAAAAAGTCCTCAAAGGAAAACGTTTTGCTGATGTGGAAGAGTCACAAAAAACCGGCAGAAGCACTAAAAGTTTTTGGCATAAAAATGCAAGCGTTCAAAAACTGTTTTTGAGCAGTGGCAAAGCATCTCGAGAAGTGTATTGCATCAAAGGGAGAGCACTTCGACGGTGACTGAAGTTTAAACATGTAAGAATAAATGCACTGTTTTAATAAACAAATTCCGTGGTTTTTAGGGTCCCCCATCATACATAAACACCGTTTGTGAATAATATATACATAGGGTACATAAATGTTATTCACAAATGGAAACAATATAATGACAGTTATTTTAAAGTTTAAATTTTCATAACCTTCCTAGCCTCTGGTCTTTTGAGGAGGCAGCCTGAGCTTTGAAAAGGAAGGCAAATCTCTAAGGCAGCAATGTCCAATAGAAATAAAATGTGAGCTACATATGTCGTTTTAAATTTCTACTAGTAACACAAAAGAAAATAAAAAGGTGAAATTGGTTTTAATAACTTATTTAACCCAATTATCCAAATATTACCATTTTAATATGTAATCAATATAAAATTAGTAGTGAAGTATATTTTTGGTACTAGATCTTTGAAACTCATTGTATATTTTAAGCTTCCAGCGCATCTCAGTTCAGGCCAGTCACATTTCAGGTGTTCAGTAGCCCCATATGACAAAGTGTGGCTTTAAGGGTTCTGACTCTCCTGGTCTCAGGGAGGTGAAGAGCCTGAACCCCAATTTTCTGTCAGAAATGCCCCCTCCCTCTCAACATGTTTCCTCAGACCCAAGGGTGGGAGACACCCTGTTGCAACATAGAGTAGATCCTGCAAGCAGGAAGTGTCCACAAGTAGACCACTGTCTCCCACCTGCTGTTTGGCAGGGGCCTATCTCCCTCCAAAAAAAACACGTGAAAAAACACGTGAGGCCCCAATAGCATGTAACCCATGTTTTCAGATCTGTCCATAGCCTTGACTTCCAGAGTTAGAGGCAGAGGGAATAGATTAAAGGCAAAATTCTTGTTTTGCGATTTGTCCTTGGTCCCGATGTTTAGACCGTGGTTGTCTATTTCCTTGTGTGGTGTGGGGAACTGTGTGAGTTTAAACACCAGTCGCATGCATACATGTTTACATGCATTTCTGTATAACTCAACATCATCTAAGGGATCCAACTTTCAACAGGAGAAAAGGAAATCAGCACCTATACGGGGCCTACTGTTTGCAAGGTAACTTGTAATCAACCTGTCACTGAATCCTGACACACTGTCTTAATGGGTGTATGTTTTAGTTAGCTACATCTACATGACAAACCACCTCAAAACTTATTAGTGCATAATTCAGTAGATCAGCAATTTAAGCTAGGCTCAGCTGGGCCGTTCTTTGGTCTCAGCCTGGGTTCCTTCAGATATATGTGGACAGCTGCTGGTTAACTAGGCAGCTCTGCTTCTGGGAGTGGAGCTGTCAACTGGGGTACCTTGATTCTCCTTCACGTTGTATCTCATCCTCCAGCAACCTAACATGAGCTTCCTCTCACAGAGATGCCATAGTTGTGAAAGAAAAAGTAGACACATTCAAGACCTTCTGAGCCTAGGCCCAAAATGAACACACTGTCATATTCACAGCCTTTTATTGGCCTAGGTCTAATAAGGCCTACCAGAGTGAGGTTTAGGGAAACAGATTCTGCCTCTTGATGTATAGGCACCTTGCAAAAAGCATGGATCCAGGAAGGAATGAAGAATTGCTGCCATTTTTACAATCAATATCATGAAACTTTTCTTCCAGATGAAGTTTATGTGATTGTTCCAAATCAGGTAACTTGTCCAAAGCTCCACAGTTACTAAGCAGCTGGTCTGGGCTTCAGGATCAATTCTGCCTTATTTCCAAAAGCCCATGAACCTGCCTAGACCACTCACACAGCTTCTCTAGACCTTCCAGTGTCTGGAAAGTGACTTTTCTGCAATAGAAGTAGGAGTCCTTTGAGATTTTCATCTATCTGGTACTCTTCACCATTGGAAATAATCCTCTTCAGAGAATATTTCTAAAGCCTCTTGGAAGGACATGGAATAATTTGGGGAAATGGCTGAGGGCTGTGTTTGGAATATCAAAGTCCAACAAATATATTATTTATTTCTCATCATAAAAGAAATTTGAGGACACCTATAATGTACTCCACATGTTTGCAAATTCTTTTCATTTTTTTAATGTGTGGGCTATTTATAACTTCAAACACAGACTAAAGCAAACTACTGCACCTAAAACAACCTCTTGATCTAAAAGCAAATGACATAAAGATAGATCTGCTGAGAGAACATTTTCTCCTTCTGCAGTTTAGGCAAACAGCTGAGTACATTTTAAAGTTGTCCTTTGAGAGAGAGAGAGTGTGTGTGTGCGTGTGTGTGTGTTATAGTCTCACTCTGTCGCCCAGGCTGGAGTGCAGTGGCAAACTCAAAGCTACTACAGCCTTGACCTGCTTGACTTAGGCTATCCTCTTGCCTCAGTCTTCCAAATAGCTGGGACTACAGGTGTGTGCTTGGCTAATTTTTTGACTTATTGTAGAGACGAGGTCTCGCTAACTTGCCCAGACTGGTCTCCAATCCCTGGGCTCAGGTAGTCCTCTCGCTTCCACCTCCCAAAGTGCTGGATTCTGGGCATGAAGCACCATGCCTGGCCTGTCCTTTGATTTTAACAGGGTAGAGATGTTTTTCAAGACCCCCAAATTCAGGAACAACCATGGGGCAAAGCCTCTCAACATACTTGGAAATTACACACAGCTGATGCAGCCCTTACCCTGAACCAATGGCTCTAATCTTTGGTTGCTACTTAGAATCACCTGGGGGCTTTTAAAATCTCCCAAAACCAACTTGCAACAGAACAATTAAGTCAGAATCCCTGGACTGGGACCTGGGCAACAGTGTGGTTTAAAGCTTTCCAGGTGATTACAGTATGTAACCAAGCCCAAATACCATTGCTTTAAACCAACATCTTTTGATAAGTTTGCAAACGGTTACACAAATGAATTTGTAAAAATGTTTGCTGCTGAGTTGTGGCCTTTCGATCCTTCCCAGCATTCCCTAATTACTGTCCTGTGTGGGAACTGACCTAAGCTACTCACTTTGTTCCTGATTCAACCCAGTTCTAAAACTACCCTACTATGCACAAAGCACTGTCCTACGGGCCCTGGCCTTGGTGAACATCATTGTGGAGGGAGGGCTTTGATGGAAAAAAGTTGCATTCCAAAAATTGAAAACCATGCTACTTACTGATTTGAGGTAAACATTAAAAGACTTAGAAGGAAAGCCAGACGGGCTGTAATCCTGTGCCTGTAATCCTGCGCCTCGGGAGGCTGAGGTGAGTGGATTGCCTGAGCCCGCGGGTTCGAGACCCGCCTGGGCAACTTCGTGAGACCGCATCTCTACAATAAATCAAAAAATTAGCTGGGCGTGGTAGCGCACGTCTGTAATTCCAGCTACTTGGAAGGCTGAGGTGGAAGGATCTCCGGAGCCCAGCAGGTCAAGGCTGCGGTGGCCGGGAGTGGCCACTGCACTGCAGTCTGGGCGACAGAGTGAGACTCCAACTCAAAAAAACAAAAAAACAAAAAAAAAAGAAGAAGGAAAGTCAAGGATTAGGACATGAATAATACCTTGAAATATTAAAATCCTTGTGATAATATCATGAGTGAACTTATAACAGTGTAAAAACAAAACCAAGAATAAAACCACAGCTGTTATTCTGAGATATTGTATTAGGATTTTTGTATAAACATGCAATATTTAATTTTTTGATGTACAACATACAGAAATACACATGCAAAGCATTTCTAAAAAGCTCTATGAATTATTACAAAGCAAATACATTTGTGGAACCAAGTAATAGAACAAGTTTACTCATTCCCCAACAATCACTTCTTCCCACCTCCCACAGGTAGCTGTGATTTTTAAGAGCTAACATTGTAGATCAACTTTTTCTTACAAGTAAGTGTTTCTATTACAGAAAATTTGTAAACATATAGAAAATATACAAAATAGTACAACAGATCTGTCACCCAACCTGAACAACTACTAATCATGTGCTATTTTTGTTTCATCTATACTTCAACCCACTCCCCACTCCTCCCCCTTGTTATTTTTTAGTTCTTTTTTTATGAGGTAAGGTTTGCATACTTTGAAAGGCATAAATCTTAACTCCACAGTTTTGACAAATACATTCATATGCACTTCACCTCTTTTAAGAGTATAATATTGTATTTCCATCATTCCCTGAAAGGTCCCTAGTGCTCCTTCTCAGGAAATTTTTTCTTCCTCTAGAGGCAACTTGCTATTGTGATTTTTTTCACCACAGGTTCCTTTTGCCTGAAATTATGCAATGTATATTATTTGATGTCTAGCTGTTTCATTCAGCACAATGTTTATGAGATTCATTTAGGGTATGTGTTTCAGTATTTTGTTTATTTGAATAGCATTCTGTTTTATGAATGCTCT